GTATATGACATCTTTGGTATCTATTTGCAAAAGTGCACAAATGAAGCAGTGTAGGGATATTTTAGTGGCAAATTGGAGTTCATTTTTAGGAAGATGTCTTTTCTTTCCTGAAACTTACTTAAGCACAATTTCAGTGTTCTGACATAAGTTTGTATCACTCTGATGAATTTGAGACAGCCCTTCAGGCTCTTAGTAAACCCTTATGAAAGGTGTCATGGTTCTCTGATGCAGGTATCAAAAGGTGGTTGATGATGCCAACTTAACTGCAGGTTTTAGTCAGTTCCTTGGGCAGTGTTAGATCTGAATGCCTAAAAATTAATGTGGGGTTTGATGAAAGGTTGTTATAGTGACTTTGCCATTTGGTCATGGCTCAGTTTAACTCCTAAATATAGTTGCAGACTTTCTGTAACGCATTTAATGAAATTCTGAAAATGGTACCTGGTGGATATATTTCCTATGCAACTTTATTGTGTGGAGAAAATGAATATTAAAAATGGGACAAAAGGACAATCAATCCTTAATTGTGCACTGTTACAATTCAAGATCCCTGCCTACTTTAAAGTGTATCTTGGTGTTGTGAGAAACCACTTCATCCCAAAGGTAAAGCAGGGTGCTAGAAATGTCATCTCAATTTCTCTGTAGCTGACTTGACTCGAGATGGGGATAAGTGACTGTGTAGTGTATAGTCAGGATCTTCTTTTCCCCAGACAAGCAAACCTCATTGTTACAAAGTGCACCATAAGATGTGGGAAGGGATCTGACTTACCAGAGTACTTGCATGTTTCTGTAGAAGGTCAAGTACATTTGCTTTGTGTTTTTAATATTGGTGGCACTGTGCCATGTAACCAGTGGATCAAAGTCTAGGAGTACAGAAATGTTCTTACCCTAATTAAAATTAACCTAACGCAAAGTTGAGTCTATTTTAAAACCCCTGAAGTAATCAGTCTTGTGTCCTTATTGCTCAAGGAGGGGCCATGTCTTTATTGTGAGGAGGGGCCGTGGGGCTCCCAGGAGCTTCCCGAGGCTCAGGACATGCTGCAGTGTGGGCTCCTTGCCGCGCTGCGCCACAGCTGGTCCCTTCTGCTTGCCGGGTGTCCCGGTCGGGTTTGAGCACTGGCTGTGCCATGCCAGAGTCTCTGCAGCAGGGACACAGTGCCACTGAGTACCTTCCTCTGCCTGTGATGCTCAGATCTTTTGAAATGCCTAACAATGCCATGCAGAGCTCAAAAGGCTGCTGAATACTGCCTTCATTCTTAAAAAGAAAGCTCCTGGGTACGGAAAGCATTCCCAAGATCAGAACACACTCATTTTTGCCGTAGTTGTGTGTCTTTTCAGCCATGCAGTGGAGAGATGTTTTTTCCCATATGCTTTTAAAGTATTCTGCTGTAAACCAGTTTGGATTTAAATGCTCCTTTGCTCTTCTGTAGTTAGTTATTGAAATAGTTGGCTTCCTTCTTTTTTGGGTGAAGAACATCCTTAACTCAATCAAAATCACCTTTAACTCTTAACTTTCTGGAGACTATTTAAGCACCAGTCCCACATTAGCAAGATACTGTGTATTAATTAACCAGATTCATTTGTCACTTGATCCCTGACAGTTGACTTGCTGCTTGCAGAAGAGTGCATTTACTTCAGCCCTGTCCGGCTCCACAAACCAAGTCCTTCAGCTATTTCAACCAGGTCTTTTTTTCTACGGTTTCTGCCTCCCATTCCCCGAGTTGAATATGTATACCTGAATCATTGCCTGTTTTTCCCCACAAACCATACTTATTTATCAGTCTGTGCTGTTGATGACTTATTTTTTATTGGCAGACAAGTGGTTTTAAATTCCAGTTCAGAAAAAGAGTAAGGTTTTAATCCTTTGGATATAACTTAAGTTCCTGATCCTGAGCGAGCATCTTTGTGCAGGTAAGTGTTAATAGGTGAGGCATAAAAATGTGAATCGTATGTGACCTGCTCCTGGCAACAGCTATATATCTGCATAGTGTTCTTGACTCCAGTATGTTGCTGACATACCAGATTATACACATGGCTAAGACTTTGCAGGTTCATGGCTTGATGAGCATTTAGTATTACACTGACAAGGACCCTCTGTTCAGAAATTGCCTTATTAAACAAAACCTCCAGGCAACAATTGCTTGTTTAACCCATTTTTGTGTCTGCAGATGACAGTATCAGTCTGCTTAGTGATGGTTTAGGAAGAAGTGCAGATCTCTGAATCATATTTTTGTGAATGTGATTACATATTTTGTAATCAAAAGATTTTTTTTTTAGTGGTTTGGTTTTTTGTTTTTTGTTGTTTTCTTTTTTTTAATCTTGTGCCCTTTACACTTCAGGAGAGTGAGTCAAGTCACTGGATTCAAAAAAATTGCTGCTCCATAGGAAGGGCCCTCTACTCCAGATGGAGCAGTGGAGGAGGCAGTCTGCCAAAGAAGGGAGTTGGGCCAACGAGATGAGCATGTGTCTGCAGGGTGCAACCACTGCTAGAGTGTAAAATATATAGAGAAAACAATCTGGAAATTGATTTTAGAAGACAAAGATAAAGTTAATTTTCTGTGTCATTTTGGGGTCTATATTACACTTTCTAGAGTAGTTGAGATTGGCAATACTCCTTGTTTTTCCCCAGACTTTGAGGATATGTGTGTTCTTGTCTGAAGGTGTTAGCTGACATCTAGCATGCTTAAGTTCGGGTCAAGACAAACCCACAGAGATGTTGGATGAATAAGAAAATATTTTTCTCTCTGAAGCTTTGCAGGTGCAGTCATTTGTATTCCTTGTAACTATAGTAAAAGTAATACCAGATGGAGTTTGGGAACTTTTAATAAATCCTCATAAATCCTGTATATGCAATGATGAGAGAGGGGCTGCCGGGCCTTTATTTAATGGGTTGATGTAGATGCCCAGTGGTGAGGATTCCACAGTTTCCTAGCATTAATTTGCTTAGCTATTGCCATCGTTAAAAGGGTGGTTAAGATTAATTTGCTGTGGCGGCTGGGAGAAGTACCCTTGGGGAGGTGCCTTGTCTGGGGGAAACTCCATGTCGAGGCCATGGCCGCTGGGTACCAAGTGGGTACAGCCGAAGGGCTCCAGCTAGTTTGGAGGATGTAATGAGTCAGCAGAGCCCCAGGGTGGGAAGAGCAAAGGGGATTAAGAGGTGATTGTTGATTCTTAATGAGGTGGTCCACCCATCTTGGGATTCTTCATTCACCAGTGGCCAAAGCCACGTGCTCTGGAGGAGGGTTAGTGTGTTGCTTCCATGTCTTACTCTGTCCTAAAGGAGCACGCTGATCTAGTATCATTTATCAGTGGCTGATACTGACCTAACTGTTGAGGTTAATTATCCTTTGCTGTCATACAACTGCAGAGCTGGATGGAGATGGGCAAATTCTCCTTGACCTAGAATGGAAGGTACAGCCCACGTACAAGAGTGGGGTATGATGGATACAAAGCACAACAGATCCCTTGGGTTTGGTTGAAAATGGCTTCTTTAGAGCTTAATTTAAATGAAAAAAAAATACTTGTATCATAGCACTTGTAAAACATCTGTGTAGCTGTTTATGAATCCTTTCATTAGCCTGTGCATTTTGGTTCAGCGTGAGACTGACTGCCTCTGGCAGTGTGTTACTGTACTCAGAGATTTCACAAAACTCTGCCTCAGCATTTGCCTTGAATTCAAATAATGCAAAATTGTGAACAGCAGAGAAAAAGATGACACACAGAAAGAGGCTCTGTTAATACCTAAATTCACTAACTTTTAAAACCTTAGCTGCTTCTAGGTTAAAATGAGTGATCCTCTCTACTGGGTGGGTGCAGGGGATGGAAACCAGGAGCAGAGGGTGCAGCTGGGAGGGAAAGACCTTGGCCTTCAGCTGTCATGTGTAGTGGAAATCACACATGTAAGGTTTGTAGCATTGAGGACTGGGGTGGGTTGGATAGGGTGATGCATACGCATCACCTCTTCCTCCCGTGCTCTGCAGGTATGTGTGTTTAATCACACTGCTTCTCTGGTGGGACAGACTAAACCTGATGGTGTTGGGATTTGTGCTGACCCTCCTGCACGTGGTTAATGGTCTTGGACCCAGGAGCTCTGTTTCCAGCATGGTGCTGAACTGAGCTTTGAAATACGAGTAGTTCCTGTTAATCTCTTTTAGTATATATCTTGTGGCAGTAAACAGGGACATGGACTTTGGCATTTGAGAGTTTTCCATTGTTGTTTTCAGTTGTGAATTCCCAGTTTAGGCCAAATGAATAGTCCCTGCAGGATGGATTCATCCTAGCAAATGGTAAAAAAAAAAAAAAAAAAAAAAAAGGAATGTTTAATTAATAATAGCTATTGATGGATGAGCATTATCTTTCATGTCAACACTATGTGAAATTTTAAGCTTCAAGGCTGGGTGATGGAAATGAGCTGCTTAATTTAAATATGGCTGGTTTAACAATTTTTTTCTTTAAAATTAACTCTGTGACTAAAAAGAAAACACTTCTTTGAGTTTCCAGTGGAAAATTCTTTGTCCATAAATGAGAATAGCCTCTAGCAAAGAGAGCCTGTTTCCTTCTTAGGTAACTGTGACCAAAACCACTTGTCCTTTTCCTTGGTGGCTGTGCCGCTGAGGTGACTCTGTTTCAAGTCAACCTTTTCTGATAGAACATAATCATGGTTTTATCAGCACCAGGGGCTCTTCCCATTTATGGACAAGGAATTTGAAAGGTTGCTGCTGCCCTTTACTGCTCCAAAGCAGTCCTTGGTGATGGGAGGAGAGGCACCACCACTCCCCCGTCCCTGTGGGCTCGGGGTGAGTGGGATGGCTCGTGGGTTCTGTCATCTTCATCGAACAAGAAGACTGAGCAGTATTTCTCTTCACCATTGCCAGTAACACACACATCTGTGTGCCCACATACTGCTTACAGCACTTTAATACACCCTTTAGAATTTGCTGTGTTTAGAGCATCTTCAAAATCCCAATTTTTTTTAATCTTCTTTTTGTTTTTTTTTTCCCCAGTGACAGTTTTCTGGATCTGAGAGTTAACAAAAGAAAGTTGCATCTGCGTGGAATGCCAGAAATCAATCAACTGCTTCCCAAGAGCAAGCGGAAGAAGAGCTAATGCTGCAGCGGTGTGAAGCTTAAAACTGTGCAACAGGCTTAGCGCTGAGAAATACTTATTTTTTCCCAGTTTTCGGTGTATGTGGGTACTTAATGAAAAGCTGAAGTTTTGCATAGCTGTCATTCAGACTGCCTTAAAATAACCAAATTGGTGTGCGGATGTATTTTGTTTACAGCACGGTTAGCTGCCTAGCTCTGGGATGGGACATGAAGTGCCGGAGTCCTGTGGGAGCCCTGGGCGGGCTCCCGTGCGGCTGCAGGATTTGGGTCTGTGTGGAACCGTGCTCTGAGAGCAGCCACAGGATGACATTTTGTTTGGGGTCGGGCACATGCTGATGATCTGGTTCCTGGCTCAGCTTCAGGGGAGGTGTGGGGGGAGCTGAGAGATGGGGTAGACTCATGTTCTACAGAAATTAGCTTTTTTTTAAAAAAAAAAAAAACAAACATGTAAACTTACTCATTAGTATATGCCATTATTTCAGTTTAAAGTCCTGAAATTTGAAAGAAATTGGAAGGTTGATGGATACTAATTATTCTAGCTTTAAAATCAATATTGGCGTGAAAAAATCTTGTCTGTCTTAGAAGATGATGGAGTTTTGTAATGTAATACAGCAATGCAGTAAAATTAAAGTAAATTTGAACAACAGGGTAGGTTTTTAAAAATACAGCTTGTAAGCAAAATACTCAAAGTTGTTCTTACCAAGCCCTGAAGCTTTGATCATAGCCTTTCATTGGGAACACCACAAACAAAGCACAAAATCTATAGCTGTTATTGGGACTGTACATTGTGCTTCCAAAAATATTCCTCCTCAAACCATGGTAGCAGGCAGTGGTTTTGTTTAGAATGGGCTAAATCTGTGGTAAATATAAACTGTAGTGAATCCATTGAGGTAAGTTAGATGCAGAGGAATAACAGGAAGCTGATTTCGTTTGGTTGGTTTTTTACTGAAAGTAAACCTTTTGAAAGAGAGTAATTCTTGACTTCTGCTTTTAGTCTGCCTTTTAATTATAGCAATTAATAAAAGACAGATTTACATTTTATGCAGTTAGCCAGAGAAGATTAAAAATGTTTGCATGCATAATGGTCACTGTGTCTGAAATTCGTGTACATCAGCTTACATCAGCTGTTGAGCATCCCCTGGAGGTTTTTATTGCTATGTTTTAATTATATTTGAGTTAGCACTTCATTTTCTTCACTATGGTAATGATATCCACTGTCATACATAGGAAATAGCCTCAAAAAACTGTCAATACTATTAGAACGTAATACTTGAGATCTAGCTATAAAGAGGAATGTGATAAATAACAAAACCTGAGGAGGTGCCCGTTCTGGTTTGCTTTGTTGCAGTTTAGAGCAGTGCTGGTGTGGGGGGGCCTGGGCAGCACGGGGGGGGGCTGCACAGCAGAATCACTGTCTTGGCTTTAAAGCACAATTACAGGTTTTAGGCAGGGGGCTGTAGGGCTGACATGCTCATTCACTGCACGATGGTCACCTGGCTAAAGGTCAGCCTGGACATGGTGGTCCAGGGGCCATGTACTGACCGAGGTCCTCAACTCTGCTGGATCGGCAGGAAAATTAGGATCCTGCAATACTTAACTACCTGCAAGCTTTCCCTTTTGATATGGGCTGTAATTGATATGGGCTGTAAATGTGCTGTATCAATAGCAGATAGTTGTGATAGACTTAAATTTGTAGTTAATTACAGTAACCACTGATGTGAGATGAAAATGTATTTCAGTACCCAGTAAGGAGAAATAGTCTAATTTGTTAAGTCAATATGGGCTAGAAAGTACTAAGAAAAAATCAATATAGAAGGTGAATAGCAACATCTGAATTGTGAAATACCTGTTCTGTCTGTGTTGGTGCTGCAGCAGCTGGTGCAAGCCGGCTCCTGGGAGGCTGGAGGCTGTCAGGAGGGGAGGGCCAGAGGCCCTGCGGAGCAGAGCGAGGTGAGGAGCTGCTGGTCTGCGGAGGTTCTGTACAGCAGCGCTGTGGTCCTGAGCCTCATGGAGGCTTCAGGATGTGTCCCCTGACACTTGAAGAATGCAAGAAAAAGTGTCATCCTTGAAGCTATACTCCTTAATGTATAAACAGTCATGACCTTTGGAAATTACTTTTCTTTCCATTTATTCAATCAGATTGTTATTTCTCCAAGCAGAAAGCCAGAGCTTGGTCCCTCTTTGTTGTGTGCTTTGAGGGATTCCCTTCCTGTCAGCCTGGGCAGAATGTGAGAAGGCATTAACCTTCCTAACAGTGTTTTAATGTTTTGCAAACGTTTTGAGTATAAACCGTTCTGTTGTCATTTGCAGCGAACCACAGATCTTGGTGCTATCCTGGATCTGTGGTGGGCTTTCCCCAAGGAGCTGTTCTCTGTTAAAATAAACCCCAAAATGTTTATATCTTATGTTCATCTGCCTTGTTTTCTGCAAATACAAGACTCAGATGTTTGGGTTTTTTTTATATTGATTTTGTCATTTGAAGCTGCCCTTGCATGGTCAGTGTGGCTGTTCAGCTGGTGCCAGTGCTGGGCTGTACCATGTGGGATGCCAGATCTGAAAATGGCATCTGTGGCTCCATGCCAGGCTCTTGCCTGTCACCTCTGGGGGCCCATGGAGATGGGATGGGGTGAATCCCCCCACCTTTGGTTTGGCTGCCATGGGTTGCATTGGCCTTGGCATGGGCCTTGGCAGCAGCTGAGCCAGGCAGCCCTGTTGGTAGCTGCTTCTCTGGGATGGGAACATGTTTTGGGCTGTGTTGGACAGAGGTCGAGTTACAGGAAGTCTAAGGAAATGGTTCTCAAGGTTGCACTGTGTCTATATATATTTTTGGGTATAATTTTTATAGTTGGTTTTATATAATTAAGTGATGAAGTCAAATGTAATGCTCCTGCCCCTTTGTCCTGCATGGTGCAGTGACTCTCCCCAGTGCTGCCATGGGGAAGGACAAGCAGAAAGGAGGAATTCAGAGGATGTACCCTCTCCTTTGGTAGAGGAGCAGAGTCTTGAGGGGACAGATAACACCAAGGACAAATCGTGGCCCTTTCATCCTCACAAATGTCTTAGACCTTCCTGTGAAAAGGAAGCCAAGTCACCAAGAGAGTGAGAGCACCACAGGCATGGGCAGGATCTTGGAAAGGGCTTTGTGCTAGCTTTGCAGGTCTTCGGGAACAGCACAGGATTAGAGACATGTCAGGGATACAGCGCGTGCCTTCTGCAGAACCTGCAGCAGAATCTCTCGGGATGCTGGAAATGTGGTGAGTTTGGGTGGGAGCAGGCTGAGGGGGCTGGAGCAGATCCCAACCCCTCTGCTCCTCCTGCCCAGCAAGAGCTGCCTGGCTGGGATTTCCATCCTGCCTTAGAGCTCCTTGGTGTAATAAATGGAATGAAACTGATCCATCTGATCTTCTGCTTGCAATAAGCAGAATTTAATTAAGATTTCTGTTTCTTTAACCATTTTATTTGTCAAAACTCATTATTCAGGGACAACACTGTAATGCAACATTCCATTCCCTACATAAGCTTCCTAACTTTCCAGTATAGGCAGCTTTAAATCAAGTATTTTAATGATCTGATAAAATACAATATCATATATAAATTCCAGGATATTAACTTTGGGTGAAAGACTCAATTGTGAGATAATCCTTCAAGTCTGGGTTTGTTTATTTTTTTACCCTTGTGAATTCTGTTACTTTAGGTTGTGTTAGGATCTTAAAGGAACAAGAACCATTTCTGGGCTTCTGTTGACCCACCCACCACACAACCCAACCATCTTTTTGTCTTGAGTTAATGTGTCTTGGTTTGCATTCACAGCTGACATCTGCTAGTTGGTGTGATGCATCTTTGCAGTTCATAAAGCCCCTTCTGGAAAGGGGGATCTGGGTGAAACACCAGCTTTGAACACTGAAAATGAGACTAGAACGTGCTGCCAATGTTTCTTTAGGGAACTGTGCCGCAGTGATTTTGGGAGGGTTTGGGTCAAATGTGGAGCCATTTTGGGGCTCTTGCCTCAGGCCTGCTATGGCTGTGGAGAGTGGCTGTGCCTGGTGCTGCGGGGCCTGGGTTGGTGTTTTCACAGCCGCGCTGCAGTGCCGGCTGCTCGCAGTTTGTGTCTGGGGCGCAGTGGGCGGTGGGATGCTGAGGTGCAATACTGTGATCAGTGTTTGGGTTTAGTGAGCTCCCAAATACTCCCCTGTTGGTCTATTTGCTGTTCAGTTTGCAAAAATCCATTACTGATTTTAGTCTGTGGCTTAATGAATTCCAACCTGTGCCTGCACCATGTGTTTGGACTGATGTAAAGCCAAATTCAGCCACATCCTATTTTCTGAAAGGTGACCTTTGATGCATCTATTGGAAAATGCTTGGATTTTCACTGGGATATTTCGTGCCTGCTTAGAATACAGCTCAGAAAAAGGGAAACCTTGAAACTCAGTCTCCTTCCAAACCAGCTCAAAAGGTGCGTTTAAAAATAAAAAACACAAAAAAAAAAAGGCAGCCTGAAACGTTTCTCAAAGTTTGACCTTTTAAATAACTCCCTGAGGGTTTTGGATCCTAAATGCCAGCCCTGCTATCAGACAGTAAAAGCAGAAACACCCCGACTCTGGCACCTTCCCCAGCACTGCTCTCAGCTGCCTCCGGCTACTGGCAGACACCAGGAGCGCCCAGGGATGGGGACACGGGGATGGGAGGGCAGCAGCGCTTGCTGCCATGTCTGGCCCGTGCATGTCGCTCTGCCAGGCACTGTACCTGTGAGCACGGAGAGCAGCCCTGCTCCCTCTCTTGTGGAAACACTGAGTTTCCTCAGGTTCTGGGCAACCTCCCCACCGTGTCAGCAGCTTCTCTGAAACCCCTGGGGAGCATCGTTATAATTTCCAGCCTCTGGCACAGAAGATGTGACACTGAGCGATGGCTCAGCAATGTGCCCACAGATGCTGAGTAAACCTCTTGTTGGAAAGTATTTGCAATTCTGCACTTACAGGCAAATGCAGACAAAACTACTCCAATGGTTTTGGTACATGAGCATTGCTTAGTGAGTCCGAGAGGCTGAGCGTTGCCTAAATATGATGTTGTGCCACAGTTAGTTGCACAGACACTGGGTTTTCTACCAACCTTGTAATTTCTCTTAAGAAAAGTATGGATTTATGCCAGAACAGAGAAATGAGCTGAAAACTGCATCATTTTATGGAGAAGACTAAAGTGTGGGAGTTGCAATTGATGAATCACAAAAGGAATGTGTGTGTTTTCCTGTATTATTTGTCCTGTCTGTTCCTCTGTGCATGCAGAACTGGGTTGGCGTCGCCAGCGTTAGCACTGGGAACGGGGGCTGCTGCTGAAGGGACCTAACTTGGGCGCTGGGTTAATTTCATTAAATCATCACAATGATAAGTTTAGGTGAATATTTGGATACCTTCCCATCTCTGCTGCCAACAGGTTTGAAATATTTTATGGTTCATTTCCCCT